CAAGGACATGGTGCTCCTCTAGCCATTGTCCTTGGAGCCACAGTTGGCAGCTTCTGGCTGATGAGGGGAAGGAGAAGCACTGTGGAATGGTTCCCTCTGTTGCTTTCCCCCACCTCCCTGCTGGGATCTTGCTGCCAAGACCCAGATGTAGACATCCTGGCGCCCAGCCAGAGGGAGTCACCCAGGAGTTTTCGGGCCAACCCTCCGTGAAACCGGTGTTCTGCCAATAACCAGCCTTCCCCCTGGGGTGTTTCACGCTCCACAGCCTCAGTCTTTTCCCTACAGGGGAGGAGAATTCCCACAGCAGATTGGTGAGGCCTGCACCACCTGTGTCCTCACATCCACCTGCAGCCTCTTACTGAGGGCTTGCTCCAATGTGTCCTGGACTGAGCTCTGAAGTGCCCCATCTCATTTCCACGCTCACCTGTGTCTCCTTCCTACTTTCCTACCTCAACATTTCTCACTTGTACCTGGTGAGGCTGCCCAAAGGCTGGGGTCTGGAGCTGAGGTGAATAGGACTTCGGCCCGTCCTTGAGGAAAATGTGATCCAGTAGGAGAAAGGAGATGGACCTGAGCAGGGGGATGAGGTGTTGGGACAGGTGGCAAGTTAGGGAGGGGAGAGACAGCCAGGCATGCTCCGCCCAGAATCCAGTTACCCCTCCTGCCTACCCTGTCCCTGGTGGGTGGGGGCAGGTGTGTGTTGAATTGGCCTAGGAAGGCTGGGCCAGGATTTGGGATGGGCAGAGAAAAGGAAGACAGAGGGAAGTCAACCTAGGAAGGGAAACAGACTATATACCAAGTCAAGGAGGAGGAAAGGACTAGCATGTGCTTAGGGACTAGACCCTGCGCCACCTGGAGCAGAGGGTGGAGAGGTCAGCCAGGGTCGATCATGAGAAACCTCAAATGCCAGGCTGAGGAGCTTGGCCTTTATCCTGAGAGCACTGGGAACCAAGCAAAGGTTTTGAGGAGGAGTTAACGTGACCAGCTAGATGTCTTAGAAAGTCAGTGCTAGAGGCAGGATGGAGATGGAATAAAGGGATTGTGTTGGAGTAGGGGGCTGGAGAATGACCAGGGAAGGGGGAAGTACGCTGGGGCTCAGCACAAGGAGGGAGTGGATAAATGTGAGAGAATTACAGAGGGAGAATTGACAGGCCTTGATGACAGATTTGACGGAGGAAGTGAAGGAGAGCGAAGAGTCAGGGCAACTTTGAAGTTTCCAGATTGGGGATTAGACGTTTGCTGATGCCTTTGATAAAGGCAAAAGATGTGTTGATGTTGAATATTTGAGTGTGAGGGGCCTGTGAGATGTTCCCAGAGGATATGTTGAGGTAGCCTGTACTGGACATCTGGAGCTCCAGAGAGAGGGCTGGCCCACAGGGGGCACTCGGGAGTTGCGGTGTTGGGGGAGCGCTCCATGCTCCGTGGGGGTGGGGTGGATAATGAAGGGAAGCAGGGTCCGGTCCTCCAGTGAGGGGGCAAAAATAGGAAGAATCAGTGAGGGAGACAAAGGAGCGGCCGTCTGGAAGCGGCGAGTGAAACAGCCGCTTGGGAGGGGCCGGGGAGGACAATGAGAAGAAGACGCCTTCTTTGGCAGTGAGGAGGTAGCTGGAGCCTATGGGGCCTGCGGTCCTCGCGAGGCGGTGGGCGCGGAGCGGAGGCCGGATCCCAGAGGCTGCATCCTCCCGTCGCTTTTGGCAGCCACCCGCCTCCCAGGAACATCCTGCTTCCCACCAGCTCCCCAACAAGCAAAAAAATGATGTCTGCTGGCCGGCTGCGGGGCAGTGGGCCAGGGCGTGTGAACGCGGTGCAAGCTGGTCAGCACCCTGGAGAGCGGCCGGGGGCGGGGCCTGCGGTGGGGCGGGGCTTCGCCGTAATCTCACGGGGCCTTTGGTTCCTGCACTGGCTGGTTTTGCAGGCCGGTTCGAGGTGGAGGAGTGAAGAGCAGACCTGGACAGTCTCAGGCCTTCTCTCTTTTCGGCACCTGCCCCCTCCCAACACTGCCTTGCAGGAACCCTACCCCAGCATTTGGGGCTGTTACTCCCTTGGCGCCATCAATTCAGTCTCTTTAGGGGAGGGAAGGGGAGAGAACGCACTATGTACCAGGAACTTTACGGACATTACCCAAACCTCACAGCTCTTTGAGTTTGGAGTTTGTCACCCATCTTTCAGATGAGAACACTAAATTGAAGTTCAGAGAGGTTAAATAACTTGCCCAGAGCACATGGCAGAGCTGGGATTTGAACTTATACCTGCCTGGCTCTAAGTCCTGGAGTGCGCATAGTCCTGGATCTTGCACCTCATTCCTACAGACTCCTTGCTTCCCGGGCAACTGTAGAGGCTGGTGTGGCAGTGGGGTGGGCAGGAGACCCTACCTCCCCCCCTGACTTGCTTGAGCATAATCCTGGGAGGTTGTTGAGGATGAGACCTCTACCATCATTTCCAGAGCAGGAGAGGAGAAAGAAGGCTGAGAGGCAAGTAAGGCCTCAATGCACCTGCTCCCCTCCACGCCCAGGAGGCACGCTCCTTTGAATCCTCTGACTCAGCTTCTGACCGCCAGGCTCCTCAGGGCATGAAAGGGAGCTGTGAAAGGCCAAAACTGGATGTGGTCCAGGGCCTTGGCTTTCTGAGCCCGTAGAATGCCTTCCTAGCTAGCAAGCATGGAGGGGCGAGGTCCTAGGCATGGGCCAGGTTGAGGAAACAGTTTGCCCAGAGCTTTCAGAGATCTAAAATTCCACCTTCTGAGGCCACAGTGGGAAGCAAAGCCTCCCTCACATTTTCTTTCCTAACGCTTCCTAAGTCACAGACAACTGCTTTCTGTAGCCCTCGGCCTGGGCAGGCCTCCTGCACAAGCTCGGTCATTCCTGTCCACCCCCATCCCTGGACGCATCCACACCCCTCAGCAGGGTCAGGTTTCCACTCAGCCTCGTGGGCTTTTCTGCCTGGAGCTCGGTGTGTGCGGCAGGGGTTACTCCCCGTCACAGCTCAGAGAGCTGGGGTTACTGGTGAGGGTTATGTGTAGCTCCTCTATCCTGGAATACACCCCCTTTTCCTGGGGCCCCCTCTTTGCCTTAAAAAACCCAGCTGATATCCTCTCTTCTGGAAATGCTTGCCAACTGCTGGGCTCCCTCTGGGCACCACAGACCCTGTGCTCCCCTCTGTCACACAGCAAGTACCCCCTTCCCCTTGCCTGGGTGCTGTTCCAAGGCAAGGCACCGTTGAGTCATATCTGATGAAGTTGGCCAGTGGTAGGTGTTCCTGAATGAATGAATGAGGAAGTTAGTGGTGGAACCAGGACTTGAACCCCCATCTCCTGCCTCCAGGTGTGGAGCTTTCTCTCCTCTGTCCAACAGGAGCTTTGCTGAGACAGTTCCCTACCTGTCCCATTGCCTAAAATGCCCCTATTCCATTAGGTTAACACTTCCTCCTCAGGAGTCAGGAGCCTGTCTGCCCTCAGGGACATGGCAGAGGTGAAGCAGGCCCTCCCCTATGCCTATAGTCTGTGGACAGTGAAGCCGTGTGAGGCGTGCTGTGGCCTGGGTGCCACAACTCCTAGTAGAATTCCATGCTCATGCATCAGCTCCCACAGTGTCCGAGCTAAATAGAGCCCCCAAGAGGTGGACTCTGTGATGAGGCTTTGAGTCCAAAGACCATCAGCAAAAGCCCCCTGAGCCTCCTGTGTACCCAACTCCATGCTGAGGATGCACCCTAGGACATGATACAATCCCAGTAAGGGAAGCCAGAGAATTCAGTTCTGCCAGGAGGCCCTGTGGCCCTTTCATACTTGAGGAGGGCATGGGGGTGTCCCCTTGCCCTGAGGGTCTGGGTTCTGTCTACCTGCCCCTCATACCCAGATCCCATCCTAGCTCACAAGCATTGAAAATGCCTCAAAATCCCTTATCCTCACATTTCTCTCTGGGGTCCTCCATCAGCTTTCTCTCTCTCTCTCTCTCTCTCTCTCTCTCTCTCCATTTCCATGTCTTTTTCCCCCCCGTCTTTGTTCCTCTGTGTGTGTGTTTTCCCTATGACTCTCTGATCTTTTGTATTTCCATCTTGATCTCTATAGGGCTTTGATCCCTCGCTCCTCTCCTTCATGTGTTTCTCTACCCCGTCCTGTCTCTGTTTCTCTCAGTCTCTCCCTCTGTGTGTGAGTCTTTCTTTTCCTCTCTCCCAGCCGGAGCCTCTCTCTACCCCTCCCTCCCTCTCTCCCTCTGTCTGGGCCTCTCTGTTCCTCCTCCCTCCTCCCTCCTCCTTCTGCATTACCAGACCTGCTCCAACCTCCTCCCAGAGTATGCCTAGCGGCAGAGGCAGTGGCAGCCGAGAAGCAGGAGCAGCCAGGGCAGCAGGGCTGGGTTGGGGTGTTGAGTCCCGGCTGAGCCGGGGACAGGCCGCTGCTCTTGGCCCCCGTGCCTGCTGGGCCAGGCGCCCTGCCTGGAGCCCCGGGCAGGGTGGACAGGGCGAGGGGCCCCTTTAGTCTGGCTGGGGAGGCAGATGATGAGGAGCGATGGGGCAGGCGTGCGGCCACTCCATCCTCTGCAGGAGCCAGCAGTGCCCGGCAGCGCGACCGGCTGAGCCGTGAGTACTGTCGAGGGGCTGGGGTCCGGGTGCGTGGCTGCAGGAGGTGCCACGGACAGGGTCCTGGGAGTCCCTCCAAGGGGCTGGGGTTGGCGTAGAGCTGAGCCACGTGGTTGGATCGATCCTGCTCCAGGGCGCCCTGTTGCTGGACTATAGCATAGAGGGGGGTCTCTGTGTAGGGCGGGGGTGCCTCACATCAACCTAGGGCGTGTTGGGGCTGGGGTCCCATAGAAGGGGATGGTGGCTACGGGAGGGCTTGATAATGAATGTGAACCATCCCTTCAGGGGCTGGGGGTGGGGGAGGTCTGTGTGTGTGTGTGTGTGTGTGTGTGTGTGTGTGTGTGTTTCCAAGGAGCCCTGGAGTCTGATAGACTTAATTCAGGACTCTGGAGAGGGATGATGTCCCAGACCAGGGCGTGTGTGTGTGTGTGTGTGTGTGTGTGTGTGTGTGTGTGTGTGTGTGGAGAGAGAGAGAACATGAATTATGAATGAGTGGCCCTGGAGCAGGAGAGGGTCTGGGGCAACTGCTCTCCATGGAATGAGGATTGGGATTCAGAGCTGGCAATCTAGGCAACTTTGTCCCCGAAGCCCCTGTCCCAGAGAGAGTCATGGGGCTGGCTGGGATGTGGCTCCTGTGCACCAGCCTCATGAGCACCCACATGCAGCGAGATGCGCGTGCAGGTGAGTGGAGGGGGCTTCTGTGGAGATGCCCTTCCACCATCTGAGGGCTGCCGAGGTAGCAGGCAAGTGACACGTGTCTCCAAGTCAGTGGCGGTGCAGGTCTGTGCCAGGCTGTGTGTGTGTGTGTGTGTGTGTGTGTGTGAGTGTGCATACATGTGGGGGGTACAAGGGACATGTGGGGTGTAGAGGAGCATGTAGAGTTCTGGGGTCCTTGGTGGTTGGGTGTGCAGCAGCCTGTCAGGGTGTGTGAGCATCCCGGTGTGACTCTCAGAGTTTTTGTGAGAGTATGTGTGCAGGGGTGTGTGTGTGTATGCATGTGTGTGTGTTTGAATTTGCATATTGGCATGCATGTTCACGTGTGCTGTGTCTGCAAAATAGAGTGACTCAATATCGAGCATGTTGTTTGATTCCATGTGTATTCATGTCGGTGTGTGTTTGTTAGTGTGTGAATATCAATACTACCGTGTGTGTGTGTGTGTGTGTGTGTATGCGTGGGTGTCTGTATTAGCATGTGTTCCAGTGTGGGTGTGTGATCATGGTGCTAGTGTGCATGAGCGTGTATGTCGGTGCTTGTGTGGCTGGTGTGTGTGTCTGTGTGTTCATCTGAGTGTGTGTGAGTGGCTGTTCCCTCCCCGCTGGCTGAGGACACAGCTGGGACACTGGCCCGCCGAGGCCGGGTTGGGGTGAATGAATGTGTGACCACCTCCGTGAGCTCAGGACAATTCATTCTACACCCTGTGGGGAGATCCAGAAAAGAAATAGGCAATAATGGCTCTGCTCTCTGGGGCCTCCTAAGCTTCCTAACATAAAATAGCTTGAAAATAATTAAGCAGTAAAGACCAAGATCAAGCTAAGAGGTGGGGGTGGGGCGTGGCCACAGAATAAGCAAAGGCCCTGGGTTGGGATGGGGTGTGTACCTGGAGCAATGAGGAAGCTGGAGGGGTAGGCAGGAACCACATCGTGCGGGGCTTTGAACTCCAGGCTTCTTGGGCTTTATCCTGAGGGCCCTGGGGAGTCCAGAAAGGTTTTGTGCAACAGAGGGACATGATCAGATTTGGGATTTAGAAAGCTGCCTCAATGGCACTGTCAAGGTTAAACTGGAAGGGAAGGGTGGGAGCCAGGAGGCCAGTGTGGAGGCTAAACCAGTGTGGGTATCAGTGAGGTCTGGGGCCACGTGGGCCAAGGGGCAGATGAGACCAGGGCTTTCTGAAGGGAGAGGTTGGAGGGCTTGGGAAAGAGGATGGGGAAGGGGAGCATGGGAGTGGCTCAGGCTTGGGCCAGGGTTGGGGGGGTGCAGTGGCATGACCTCAGAGGGTCCAGATGTGGGGAAGGAAAAGCTCTTGGAAGGCTCAGACATGGAAGGTAGTGAAGGGACACTTGTAGGGTTTCTAGCCAGGGTGCAGAGGGTCGGAGACTGTGGAGCCATCTCTTCCCAGACAGGGAAACCAAAGCTGTGGCATTGTCGCTCTCCTCCAGCTGCGAGGCTGGTGCTGAGTCTCAGTCCTCTTCCCTTTGGGCCTGCACAGGCCCTCTTGGTTGCCTGAGCTGGATGGCTCAGTGAGGGTTAACTGCCTTTATGCTCCTGCACCCCCAGCTCCCCCTGCCCACCAAACGGCTCCTGGCTCTCTTCCTGCTTCCCACTCCAGCCTCTTGTCCCTGGGGATTACTGATGGCTTGGCTGGGATCTGGCCAAATGGGGGAGGCAGAACTCCCAGCAATACCTCCCTTCAGTCTTAATGGACTGGGGGTCTCACCCTCAGCTACGCTGCTGTAACATCCAGCCTGCACTCCTCAGGCTTCTGCTGCTTTGGCCTCTCCAATCTACCCACTCAGTGTGCTTCCATTCCTGCATCTGATCATTCATTTGTTGATTCCTTTACTCAACAGAGATCCCCCAATGCCTGTTTGGTGCCCACTGGCTTGGCCTCTGAAGACACAGAGAGGACCCTGACTCAGACCCTGCTCTCAGGGAGTGCCCAGTCTGATGAGGAAGGCAGCAGTGGCAACACAGTGGAGAGTGCTGGGCAGAGAGAAGCTGTGGGAGTGGGGGCCTGCGCCAAGCCAGGGCTGCCCAAGAGGAGACATTTGAGCTGGATCTTGAGGGATGGATAAGAATTGCCCAGGCAGGGAAGGGCAGAGGAAAAAGCCTGTAAAAGTGGGTAGATGTGAGAAAGCACAGTGTGTTCGAGGGGCAAAGAGAGTTTGGGTTGGCAGGAGTGAGAAGGGAGTTGAGAAGAGGAAGAGAGGCAGAAGGGGCCAGATTCTGTAGGGTCTCAGGTGCAAGGCTAAGGGGCTTGTAGGGGCTTGGATTTTCCTCATAAAATTAGGGAGCTAGGGAAAGGCTTCTGCATAGGAAACCTCCCCTAGGAAGCCCTCCTTGGTTCCCCGTTCCCTCTGATCCCATCACCCACCCTGAAGTCTTTCTCCCTGATGGTACAGGGTCAGGAATGCAGCCCCGATTCAGCCTTCCCCTGTGATGTCCCCTGTGTGTGAGCTCCTTACCCAGCCAGCCAAGGAGTTCCTCAAAGGCAGGAGCCACCTCCTTGTGCTTCCCCACCCCACTCACAGCACAGGGCTGGGCACCAAGGCTCAGTCAGTGCAGCCTCCAAGGCGGAGAGGACATGAAGAGCATCTGGGCCACCTTCTAGCAGTTATTTCACTCCTCTCTACAGCTTGGCCACAGATCTATCCAGCCCTGCTTACATACCCCCAGGGGCAGCATGCTCATCCCTTCCCTCTTGGGCAGCCCTTCCCTTGTAGGCCCAGCTACTCCAGGCTGCCTGGCCTTGTGTCATTTCTCCATCCTGGGTCACTGTCCTTCTTCCCAAGCAGGGCCAGGCTGGGGCATAGTGGTTCAGTAGTGCTATGAGAGATCAGTGGCCTTTATTCCAACTACAGATGGTAAAACAGATTGAGCAGTCCCTGCGCCCTCTCCAAAAATAAAGAAGCAGGCATGGCCAGAGTAGGGAATGGGGATAGACAATGAGGAGGACGTCCTACCGGCACAGAGGGCCTATGGAATCTCCTGGCTTCGCAAGAGCGGCTGTGGGCATGAGGGGAAGTTTCCCAGGACAGGAGGGGGAGTTGGAGGCAGAGACAATATTAGCCCCACCCCTCCTGCAGGTGAGTGATGTCATCCAGGGAGAGGGGGACTGGAGGGGCTCAGATAGACAGGGGAGGGGCCTCAGGATTCCTTCCTTCCTTCTTTCAGCAGCCATTCAATGGATTGCTGCCCTACCAAACGTGGCAGCTCTTCAGGGAGAGGGACAGAGCCAGTGACCACTTGGAGGGAAGCCTGTGGTCTTTCCTACCTCTGCCAGTGTCAGACAAAGGAATTTAGCAGGAGGGGCCTTGGGGCTGGCCTTAAAAGGAAGAGTCACTTCTCCCGGCAGAACTGAGAGACAGCTCCAGGAAGAGGGAATGCCACATAAAAAGGCCTTGAGGTGAGCACAAACATGGTTTTATTTATGTGAGGAATATTAAGAGTTCAGAGTGGCCTAAGTGTGAAGTTCAAGGGTGGGGGAAGGACTGGACAGAGCTGGAGTAGGAGAGGAGTGAAGGAATTGAGGTTAGAGTAGAGGAAGCACTTTCTACCACCAAGGTGTCCCCCAACAACTTTGACATGTAGGCCTGGTGCAGATTCTTGGGCCTGCTGAGGGTCTCCTCATTGTTTGAGAATGGGGTGTTCAGTGAAAAAACAGAGACTCTGGAAATGAGGGAGAGGCAGGGGCTGAAGAAAGTGGGCCCCTTCCAGAAAGTGGCATGCAAATGAATGCAAAGTAATATGCAAATAAACCAGCTTGGGCTTGGCAGCTTTGGCTGGGAGGATGAAACGTCACCCCCTTCCATGCTGGCCTCCCACCCCCTCTGCCCCAGCCCCCAGGACAGCCGGAGCAGCCTTGTCTGCTGCTTTGAGCACCTCAGTTTGTCAGAGCCACAAGATTGTGGCCTCCAGGACAGGGGCTACAGGCTCCCTGTCAGCAACCCCATCCTCTCGGGAAGTAGATGTATTTAGTAACATATTTTCAACGCATTTATCTCCCACTGTTCAGCTGCCCATTCCCTGGGAGAGGCCAGGTCCCCAGGGATGTGACCCACTTCTTTTAAGTCCCTGAAGTCACCCTTCTCACTGCCTTCCCTGAAAAACAGGAGGCAACTGGGGCTTGGTGCAGCAGAAAGGATTTAAATCAGACAACTGGGAGGACTTCCCAACGGTGTAGTTGCTGAGATATGAGAACCCTGTGTCTTCTGGGCTCTCACTCTTGAGATGGCTACCCTGGGTTCAGAGGAAGCTTTGAAAATAGAATAGAGAAGGTAGCAGACAGACATAGGTTCCAGTTTCAGCAACTTTACTCTGTATGGTCCTGGTCAACTTAATTAACTTCTCTGAGTCCCATGTGGATAATGGAGTGGGAATAATAATACTTTCCTGGCAGGATAACTGAAGGATCTGGAAGTGGAGCGCTTAGCGCCAGGCATGCAGCAGGTGCTCATAAAGATTCGCTGCTGCCATTATGAACCACCCACACTCACCTACCCTTTTAGAAAGATTCAGTGGGGGGCTGGAGGGGGAGAGACCAGAGCTAGTGAGCCCAGAAGCTGTCATCCCGTGGGAGAGACAAAGAGGTCTGAAATGGAGCAGTGGTGGTGGGAATGGTGAGAAGTGTGGATGTTCCGTGGGAGGGGCCGAGGGGCCTCAGAGACATGTGACCACCTCCCTGGGCTGCCCTGTCTGGTCTGAGACTAATCCCCAGGGAAAACAGTGGAGGAAAGGGCCTGATGAGGGCTTAGGTCTGTGGCCGCGCCCATGGCAGTCTGTGAGTCATTCTGGGAGTTGTAGTTTCCAGTGAATTTGCAGTGAGTACATTTTACTGCCACCTTGGATCCAAATCCACACCCTGCTGCTGAGGCTGGTGGGGCAGGCCCTGGTGAATGTTGGAATATTCGAGGCCCAAAGGTGAAGCAGCCTCTATCCCTTCCCTCAGGGATCGCTTAGCCTGATGTGTGTTGGCGGGTGCAGGGATAAAAGGATTAAGCCATAATTATGACTCTTCACACGTTCACACAGAAGTTTACAGCTTCCAGAGTACTGTTTTCACATCTATGATCTCATTTAATCCTCACCACAAACCCCAGAAACTGCTGTCTTCTGGATGAAGAGACAGGATCTGAGAAGGGAAAATAACTTGCCCAGAGGTATTCAGCTAATACTGAGAGAACAGGTCTGTCTGCCCCCCAAAGCTCCTGCCCTTTCCATGGATTATTGTCCCAGATGGCAAAGGCCAGGCCTCGAAGGACAGGCAAGATATGGAAAATTAGACATCTCAGCAAAGGAGTAGCTGAGCAAAGACCTGGCTCAAGAGTAAGAAGCAAGGGCTGGGCTCCCTGGGATATGAGACTAAGAGATGGACTGGCCAGCCCCAGAGACCTAACTCCAGGCTTTTGTTTGAACTTCTTGCTGTGGCCCACTAGGACTTACCCAAGGGTTCTGAGCAGAGGCAGGACCTGATTAGAGCTGAGCTTTGGGAGAATTGAGCTTACAGTCCTGGACTGATTGGACTGGAGCAGGGATACCCAAGAGAGCCTAAGACTTCTGAACTCCATTCTTGGTGCTCCCAGAATTTTGCTCCTGTTCTTCTGGCACACTTCTCAACTTCTCCTTCTTCCTCTCCCCCTTCCTCTTCTTCCTCTCCCTTCTACCTATTCTTCTCCACCACAGCCTGGGGAGTGATGACCATGTATCATAGAGCTGTGCTGTAATGCCACATATCTCCAGCAGGGGTGCTGTCACACAGTCCATTCTAGCCTTCTTTATGTTTGAAGAGGCTGGAAAAGGAGCAGAGATGAAGGGTGGGGAGAGGGCAATCCATTGTTCTCCACTTCCATCGTGCTGGGCGTGAGAGGGCCCTGCTGAAATGGCATAGGGAGGAAGTAGGCTGGAGAGACTGGACCCCACACGGCAGGGACAGACACGCTGGAGGGGTTGAACCTGGAAACAAGAAATTTTTTCCTCACCGTTCTGGGGCAGGCTTAGATTTGGAAATGGATTTAGACTGACATTGCAGTTGGTGTCTGGATTTCTATTGGATGATGATTTCCTTGATACTTAGATGGGGGCGAGATTGGTTGGTTTCTTTGTGTTTCTGTGTGTGTGTGTGTGTGTGTGTGTGTGTGAACGTGAACTTCCAGTTGTACATGTGTGTATATGGGTCTGAGAGGGTGAGAGTGTGTGGATCAGTGTTTGTATAAAAGTATGGACATATTCATATGTGTGAACATGTGAGTGTCCATTTTTATGCCCGAGTTATTGGTAGATGGTGGCTTGTTTGTATGTGTGCCTGTGTGTAGAGTGTTATATACATTGTTCTAGTAACGCTGTGTAGATGTATATGTCTGTGTATGTGGGTGAACATGTCCGAGTGGGAGAGCACAGATGAGTGGATATGTGTGAAGGTACCTGCTCTGCCTGACAGCAAGGCCATGCCCAAGGTATAGCTACTCAACACTTTCTCTCCTGGATAACACCTGCCTAAAGGGAGAGACAAGATGTGTGTGGACTTAGGCTGAAGGGGCTGTCATGTGTGGGGCTGGGCTTCCCCCCGGGGACTGTGGCCCGCTTCTAGTCAGTGAGGGCCCTGGAAGGAACAGATTGTCTCTGTGTCCAGGCTCAGGTGGGGCCAGCCAGGATCCTGGGCCATCAGACTGAGATGCTGGACATGGCTAAGAGGTGTCTAGCTTCCATTCTTCCTGGGAACTCTTAGTGGCTGCACCTGTTCCCCACTAGAGAGTTTCAGGGACTCTCAGTCCAGTCTTCTCATTATATAGATGCAAATATTGAAGTCCCAGAGTGGGGTTAGTGATTAGCCCAAGGTTTCACAGCAGGATCCGGGGAGGGATGGCAGGGCTTGGAGCAGAGAGAGGGGGTATGTCTGGCCTGGAAGGCCTCCCTCCCTCCAGCCTCTGGAGCAGGCAGGGGGCTCAGAGTAGAGATTCAAGTCTGTGACATGAGGCCACCTCCTGTACCTGGGCATTTCGACTCCTCCCAGGCCTCAGATGCCGCCTTTGAAGTTTCTACCAGAGCCTCTGCTTGCTGTGAGACTCCTCCAAGGAACTTGTGAAGCCTGTCATTCCGTGGAACATGGAGGCTCGAGGCAGAAGAGTCCAGCAGTGGGGTGGAACCAGGGAGGGGCCTCCTCTAGAAGCCTCAACGTCCTTATCTTTGTACCAGATGTCTTTGTAGGTTTCTGTTGTTCTAACATTCAAGGCTTTCCCTAAAATCTCTCCTTGGTCTCCTAGTACTGAGACTTTGCTGGGATTTGGGGCAGTCCTGGAGGCCCAGCTTGGCTCAATGTGAGGGGGCCAGGGTAGCCCCATAGGGAAGGGGCTGCCCTGGGAAAGAAGGATGAGCTTCCTGTCCATGGGGTAGGGAGGTGAGAGCAGGGGCTGGGCAGCCTGGTTAGGGACGTGGGAGATGAGACTCCTGCCCTAGCAGGGAAGTTGGTGGCAAACTCTCTGAAGTTTGTTAATCTCTAGCTGCCATGGAGGGACCAGAGGACATGCCTCTGCCCATTCTGTAGGAGGAGGTTGGAGCCCCAGGGTGCTCCCCCTGGCGGCCTGGCCAGTGGGAAGGTGCAAGGTTAGACCATCCAGCTGGAGGCAGGGAGATCCCCTTCCTAGGGGGAACTGGAGAGAAATTTGTCTTCCTGGAGATTTGGGATTGGAGGCAGGGAGCTGGATGTGAGGACATTCTGGTGGAGGTAGGAGTGCGATGGGTAGGACTGGCCAACTCTGCAGTGGTTTTGCTGGTTCAGCACTGGCGAGGAGGTAGCAGACAGGCAGACAGACACACAGCTTCCTTTGTGCTGAGTCGTTGGGGGTCTAGGGTGGGAGGCCCCTGGCTGGGGGCTCAGACATTGGCTCTGGGTGGAGCAGGGATGGAGCCTTTCTGGTGCTGGGGGCTGGGCGGGAATTAGGGTAGCAGAGGGGAGGAGCAGGCAGCCCAGTATTGCATCCTTCCAAAACCAGAGAATTCCAAGTTTTCTTTTTTTATAAATTTATTTGTTTGTTTATTTTTGGCTGCATTGGGTCTTTTTTTGCGGTGTGCGGGCTTCTCATTGCGGTGGCTTCTCTTGCTGCAGAGCACGGGCTCTAGGTGCGTGGGCTTCAGTAGTTGCAGCACGCGGGCTCAGTAGTTGTGGCACATGGGCTTAGTTGCTCCGCGGCAAGTGGGATCTTCTCTTACCAGGGCTTGAACCTGTGTCCCCTGCATTGGCAGGCTGATTCTTAACCGCTGTGCCACCAGGGAAGTCCCCAAGTTATCTTAAAACTTCAAGTGGGGTGGGGTTTAGGGGCTAGATGGAGAGAACAGTGTTTACAGAGTGCCCTTTATGCAGTTGTCCCTCGGTATCCTGGTCCCTCTGTGGACACCAAGCTCTGAGAATGC